CTGCCCTTCTCCATCCTTTGGGGTGAGCAAGGATGGAGGCTCCCATACCACCCAGGTGCCATCACCCCCCTGTGCCACTGCCCGTGTCACCCCTTCACGTGCCACTTGGCACTGCCCCCCTTTTGTGCTCTGTTTGCACATTGTCCCCACTAAAACGGGTTCATCCATTCCTCGCCTTCTCCAGCCCACCGGTTTGACCTGGGTAATTCGTCAGCAGAAGTGAGCCCATCCATGCAGAGGTTAAGCCTCTCTTGGGTGTTTCACTTCTGGGAGGTTTATACCGGCTTAACAAGAAGGTGAGCAGTAATTAAATCAAACTTTTCTCATGCAGACGAGTGTGGGAGCCGGGGAGGGCCAGGGCTTGGGCCAGAGCCAGGCTCTTGCAGCAGCCAGGGCTGTGCCAGGAGCAAGGCCCTGGAGCACACGAGGAGGCTTTGCCTTCCCGCAAGGTGCAAACAGCCCCGCTGTACTTACTGGAGCAAAACAGCGAAACCACCAGCCCAGAGAGGCATTTCCTGGAAGAGGGAGGGAAAAGGCTGGGTTCGGCAGCAGCCAGGTACCCAGCCAGTTCCCATGCGGAGCGAGGGGCACAGGGCCACCCCAGCACAGCCCCACCACTCACCTGCCCGGCTCGGGTACCTGGAGGCTGCCGTTGCTCAGCACGACCTCGCGGGCAGGCAGGGGCTGCCCCGTGCCCACCTCCACCGCCCGGAAAGCAGGGGTGCTGGAAGAGATGGGGGCGTGGGTCAGGAAACAAACGCACCCTGGGGTGCACAGCCCTGGGGCAAGGGTGCTGGGAGGGGATGGGTGCTGGGGCCTGAGCGTCTCTGGGAGCTGGGAAACTTTGGTGTGTGTAGCTCAGACTGTACCAAAGACGGTTCAACCCAGTTTAAAACTTCAGAGACTGAAGATTTACCAATAGGTCATAAATGTTTGCCCATGGCCCTCACAGAGAGCCACCCTGGGCTCAGTCTGGGCTCCCAGAGGGGCTCAGACACCAGAATCCCCCTTCTCCCTAGTGCAGCCCTAACTGAACTCCAACCCTCCCTTAATCCAGGGCCAGTACCAAACACGCAGGGCATCCAGCTCTTTCCCCAGCCCTTAGCTTTAACCAGCTGTAGCTGAACGCAGCTCAGGGCTGTGTCACACGTGGGTGCCATGAAGCTGCAAGCACCCAGCCCCGCTCACAGCTGTGTGGCCAACTGCTGCTTGGGCTTTATAGGGGGATGCGGTGCCCTGTGCTCCTCCCCAGGAGACCTCCATTGGGCTGGGCATGGGGCAGGGACACAGCATTGTGCTCCCATTGAGCTGGCAGGGTTTCCAGCACAGAGAGCAGCCAGCACCCAGGGACACAGCGTGCTGGGGATGGACTGAAAGCGTTAGCGCAGAACTCTGTGTGCTTTGTAAGTAAACAGAGCCTCAAAAAGAGCCGTTATGGGAGAGGGACAGATAAACACAGGTGAGAGCCGTGTACCTGCTGTAGCCCATTTGCTCGCAGGCTGCTTTTGCCAGCTGCAGGTCAAAGTGGTCGGGGCAGACGCAGGACCAGGCTCCGGTGTTGCTGTTAAGCACCTGCAGGATGGATCTGTCTTTGGAAACACGAGCTGGAGACGGACACAAAGTCGGCTTTGTCACAGGGGTGACCTTAGCAGGTGGAGGCTGCCCCTCTGCAGCTCTACTGGGGCGTCCTGGACTCACCAGTGGCTGGTGGCCCCTCGGGGACCCACTGGGGACAGTTGTCTTCATCCTCGCCCTGCAGGCAGTCGGGCTGCCCGTCACAGAGCTGCTGCAGCGACACTAGCTTCAGGGGCTGTTTGCAGAAGAAGTAGTGGTAGTCCAGGTAAACCTTGACTAGAGGGAAAGGGGGTGCTCAGCAAGAAGGCGGCGGAGCCCTGGGCCCGGAGCTGCGTTTGCTGAGCTGTGCCCTTTTTTTAGAGGGGAGCAGGAGCCGTACCCAGGAACCCCACCATCACCAGGCAGGCGAGGCTGAGCACCGCTGCCAGGATGGGGATGCCGATCCGCTTGAAGGACTCCAGCGCCGCCGAGGCTTTGCGCCGGGTGCTGGGACCTGCAAGGCAGAGGAGGGTGGCCCTGTGTCACCAAGTCCTGGCAGCACCCGTGCCCCTGGCTCCCGTCGGCATTACCTCTGCCATTCAGCCGCTCGGAGGATAAATCCTGCGAACCAGAGGGGAAAGCTTGGTTACTGAGCTGAACC